AGGTTCATGGTTCGCGTCCCTTTTCCTTAAAAAAAAAGAAAAAATCCTACTATTTGGTCTTATAAAAGTGTGCCAAGTGTTGGTGGTGAGAGATGTTGACTAGCTGCCTTCGTCTAGTCCGTTAGTTCCAAGCTGTGGTCCGAAGGATCCCTTAAATTAGTATAAGGAAATGTTTCATAATTATGCAAAGAAAGAGTTTGTAGATCCCAGAACAAGCCCAACACTTGAAACCTTCCTTTAAAACTCAGCTATATAAGCAGGGATTATCTGTTTAAACTAAGCGAAAAAGTCTAAAACGCTACCTTATACGGCTTTTGATTTAAAGTGGAAAAATCTATTCTTTACGCAAGTAGAAGAGTTTTGTTGGAGCTTTCTTGCGACCCAATATTACTGTCAGAGTTTTAAAAAAGTCCACTATTAGAGTTTTGGATTCAAGGAATCGGAGAGTACCAAGAACTTGTACAGAAGCAAGATGAATGTTAAAGCTGACGAACGTTGAGCCCAACGTTAGAACTTTGCTCCAAAAACAGGCACACTTATCACATTAAAACTTAGAAAAGTAAGTCTGCGGTTAATACTAATATTATAGTGATTTTACGCCATTGTTTCACTATGTGAAATTCCACTGTTATTATGTGGTACGTCCCCAAAAACAATGCACCTGGTCCGCGAACAAAAAAGTTTGAAACTATTGATCTGGTCTATCTCTTTATAAGTATGGACGGCTTGCGCAGATAGCCTTTGATTTGCGTTGCGTGAAATCCAACAAATCAATAAACAAACAAACAATCCTCCCAGTGTCAGTTTAAAATTACTGACGACTATGACTTCATAACAGTTAATTCGAAATTCTGAAAGAAACACACAACTCATCGAGTGCATTGAAACTGTTTGATATTATATCATTTCATTGTAGTGATTTTGTATCATCAACGGTTAATGAAGAGCGAAATAGTGTTATTAAACATTTCATGTTATGCTGGAACATAGTGCTACCAAACATTTCATGTTATGCTGGAACATAGTGCTACTAAACTAAAAGCTAAATTCTGTGGTAAAAGACATGGTTATTTGTATAACTTTTGTCTAATAAAGCATCATCTGTACACTAGCCATGATTTGAAATTTTCATTTTGATGTATTAGTAACAAAACCCGTTAAAAACAATTGCGCCAAGTCGCACAGGCAAATACAACTTCACGTGATGTCTTGGAGCAACGTTTCTTGGGTGGTTTCATGTGACACTTGATCTCTCAAGGATTCTATAGATTCTTTGGAACTTGTGTTATAAATTTGCACACTCTAGCACCAATACCATGTTTTTTGTAGTACTAGAATGTGATTTCTATTTATTTTGAACAGAATAACACAGGGTTATTTACAAACGAAGTTTCCGAAACTAGAAGCGTTTCTATATCAAACTGGAACATAGTGTTACCAAACATTTCATGTTATGCTGGAATATAGTGCTACCAAACATTTCATGTTATGCTGGAACTATAACATGAAATGTTTAGTTGCACTATGTTCCAGTATAACATGACATGTTTGGTAACACTATATTCCAGCATAACATGAAATGTTTGGTAACACTATGTTCCAGCATAATCCATAACATAAAATGATTTCAGATTAAAACTTAAAAGATCACGCAAGAGCTCAATTCGTTCTTCTTCTTCATCTGAGACAAATATAATTCATTGTTCAGCCAATATACACGCCAAAAACAAACAACAAATTTTAACATTCAAATCAATAAAGCTCAACAATAAATACTGGAAATAATTTATTATATTTATCTTATTACTGATTATCAATTCTATCTTCATTAATTGATTCGTATGCAACACTGAATCAAATTTATAATAAAAAAAGAGCTAATTACCTTGATTGTCCGTATTACGGCATAATGATAGGTTACATTAACCACCCAATTTGCTATAAACTTATTATAATGCAAGCTTTATGTTTCTCTACTCGTTATTTCCTACCAAAATTTTGGTCCTATCATCAACGAAAATTGGCAGAATAAACCCAAACTCAGGGAGTGTCCTGACAGGCTTAGATTTTGGACTTGCTTCTCGCACGTAATAAAACGCAACCTCTTCCTTGGGCATTCATAAGGCCAACAGCAAATGGGTAATAGCAAAGTGCACGACTTATTCGTATAATATAATGCACACATGAAGTGAGATATCACAGAAAATATTCATTTTTGTTCATTATTTATGTCTCATTTTCGTCATGTCCACTTTTCATACCTCCTTTACGCAAAGCATGTCTGCTAGCAACTGCAATCTGTTCCTAGGACAAGCATGTCTGCTAGCAACTGCAATCTGTTCCTAGGACAAGCATGTCTGCTAGCAAGTACAATCTGTTCCTAGGACAAGCATGTCTGCTAGCAAGTACAATCTGTTCCTAGGA